GTGAAAAATGGGGCAAGTTTACTTTGAATGATTAATGTTTATAAATTTTGTTGCTTTAACTTTTGCCTAATTAAAACATGAACTATTTTCCTTTCCAACGAAGCTCTATAAGTTTCCTAACCAAATTATCCTGTTTAATTTAAGAAAAAAACTTAAAATGTAAAGGAGGACAAATTGATTTGAAGTCGGAACTGAAAATACCGAACAATTTGAACTTATTATGTTTACGGCAAATGTAGTTAAGTAGTTTGAATAGTTGAATGCAGAACATTTCAAACTGATTTTACGAAGCGTGTCAACTTAAATTTTACATTAAATCAAAACACACGAAAAGCAGAATAACATACATATATTTCGGAAATTCATTGTTGTATATATAGCTAAAACTTTGTACAAAAAATATTAAAAAAATTGTCATGGCAACACTTGAACGAGCCTGCATTCAGTATTAGCCAGCATTAGTAAAATATATTATTACTGTATAAGGCAAAAGTTTTATTTATTAAGAACGTTTTAAGAACATTTAAAGGGTATTAGCAATGAAAATTTTTATTGCTTTATCTGAAAGAGCATGAAAAAAATAAGCCGATTGGCCGTTTACTGCTCTATTCTAACTCATCTGGTTCCGAAGTTATACGCAAAAATGTGCAAAATATAAATTGTTGATTCAGCACAACGTGTGACGTCATTAGTTGGGAAAGTATATTTATTGAATAGTAAACTGAAGCATAGCTCAGTTATTATTGGCTCAGATCAAACGAAATTTTGCATACATATAGCCAGGTGATCTCGTGTTCGTAATTTAGCCAATCAACGCTCAGAAAGGGTTGTCCGAATAGAAATCCATTTTGATGTATTCAGTCAATTATATCTTTCGTTATTCTTTATGAAACTAGTTGAAATTTCGAAACTAGTTGAAATTTCGTTATTCTTTATGAAACTAGTTGTTTATGAGAACTATAGCTCTGACAAAAATATGGAATCGAAATAAAGTATATTACAGGAGATATTCAGTTGTTTTAATCATAAAATGGATTTCTATTTGACAACTAGTGCCAGTACTTTTCCGCGTATCAAGATCATCTGGAGTACATGACGAGACGCATGGGAAAATACTTCTAATTTTGTTGTCAAGGCAACACAGTCGTTCCCAGGCCCCTCACACTGATTTTGAATAAATAGGCATTTAAAAGTAAACTTTTGGCATGCATAGGTATGGTACACATACTTCTGATATTATTTTATCCTCATAAGTACCATGAATAAAACTGTTTTATAAAATTGGCGCAAGGAGCCTGGGAACAACATTGTTACCTTGGAACAAAATTAGAAGTGTTTTTCAATGCGTCTCATCATGTACAATTAGTATGCAATATTTCATTTGATTTGGGCCCATAATAACTGAGCTATGCTTCAATTTAGTATTCATTAAACATACTTACCCAACTAATGACGTCACACGTTGTTCTGAATAAGCAATTTATATTTTGCACATTTTTGCGTATAACTTCGGAACTAGATGAGATAGAATAGAGCATTAAACGGCCAATCGGCTTATTGTTTCATGTTCTTTCAGATGAAGCAATAAAAATTATTGTTGCTAATACCCTTTAAGTTACATCATGGAATACATCATGGATAATAAAATAAATGGATAGGAAACTACAGTCTTGGTGGTGATCAATGGTCTTTGGAATTTGATAATTAAATGTTTCAGTTTTAAGTTTATACCGCCCAATAACATATATTCCAGTATCGAAGCATATGTGCGCAAGTTTTGGTAGTTTTAGACACTATCCATTCATTCCGGTGGGTGTGTTATTTTTAACACTTTATATACCAATACAGGTACGTGTGCTACTGGCTATAATGCTTAAAAAGCACATTTATATTCACGTCTAATATCATCATAGCTCTCTTCCTTGTGAAAAATCCGCGGAAATTTACTCAAAAGTTACATGCTGTCTCTGGAGTGATGCAAAAGACCATAATTACGACGAACCTGGAACCGAACTATTCAGAAATAATCGGTTTGTTAGTCGAGTAGGTTTAAATCTCATCTTACAACATATCAAACTGCGGGAAAGACAAATAAATATGCATTGTTTTCGCCTTTTACAAACTATACTTGAGAACTGGGCCAATTTCGAAGCTAAATTTCATTTGCAGTATAAGATTTATAGCACAGTTCATAACGAAGCCAGTAGTCAAATTTCATACGTCTCATATTACACGATGCTCACTAACGATTCTCGGTCTAAAACGCTGATTTGCGTTACTATAAATTTTACTTATCTTACATTTTATATGCATATGGGTACAAGAAACCATTTTCGTTAATTACAATCGGTTAACTTTGCAGATATCCCTTTTTAAGTTCGTTTTTGAACGAAGCTCACTAAAAAACTGTAAATAAATCTATATCTCATTGGCTATTTTATGACAGAAAGTGAGAATCGTTGCTAGAAAATCATTCGTACCTTAGTCAGTTCGTTACGAAAACTTATAAAATCGTCCTATCTTGTAAAATATGTTGGACTTTAGATGCCTAGGGTGAATTTGTTTGATATTGTCTGCTATTAAGGCTTTGATGACGTGTGAGCCCATGAAAATATGGTGAGATTCGTGATGAGATTCGTTTCTATATTGATCTCATTGTCACATATACGCGCTTAGTTATACTAACAAGATGGCTCAGTTGTCAATTTTCTTTAAATAGATCTCCAATACTGTTACTATGCATGGAATTCAATGAATTGTGACTAAAATGTAGCACTACAAGCCTTTAAATCTGATTTTAAATATACGCGATGTTTCAGCCGGATTTTAGCTATTTCCTAACACACGCATACGCAAACATTGTATAACACAGCACACGAAAATTATCCGTGTGCAACGAAATTGCTAGAGGACCTAAAAGAGGTGAAGAAATTATGAAAATATAACTGCGTACACAGCTTCATGATGTCTACAAGTTGAATTAAGTTAAATTTAAGAGTAATGGTATTACTTCAACAGACAATCTTTGACAATATAGTTTGGGACAATCTAGTTTTCACATGCATTCGGTTGTAATATACCATTTCCTGATACATATTTTCCACCCTCCCTCCCCCCACCCGTTTCAATGTTGGCGCCGCGTATCCAGACATCAGATTTTTGTTGGCCCAACATTGAACTGGGGGAACGGGGGGCGCTATTCCTTTCAAATTATATGAAATTACAGCAGCTGTCCCATAGTTTCTGGCAAAGATTGTAGCTGACGTGACCTAATTTTTTCAATGGGCTGATGGCGTGGTTGGATGTCCCAACCTAGTTGCAAACCAAATTCTCAAAAACGGCATGTTTAGCAATAATACAGCAAAACAATATAGTCAAAAGCAAATAAATATAACCACGCCATTCTACGATGAAAATTCTAAATATTTCTAGTCAATTTTAACAAATATTTCAAGCACTAAACAGGGAAAAATACATCGCAAATTTCGTTAAAATTTGTGACGCCAATTTCGTAGCTACAAATGTAAAAAATACAAAATAAAGACGAAAAACATTTACCTTGAATACTTTGTCGTGGCTTATGCATGTTTTTAAAACAATTAGACCAGTTTATGCTTCAATATCACCCTTTTAAAGTGGAAAATACAGCAAAACAACAAAAATGCCGAGGATTTTGGTAATATTTGCAATACGCGTGACGTCACGTTTTTCAACAAGGATGAGGTCAATGACGTCAGGAAGTTTCCTATCCAGTTATTTTGCAATCCATGGTTACATAATGAAAACCCCTCAATGTTTTATATATGCTTAAAATACTCATTAATAATTCATCAACCTTGTGGCAAATCATGCCAGCCATAATATGTCACGTGGAGTGACTTTATATCTGATAAAATTCATCCTAATTAGTATGATTATATAATGGTTCATCCTAATTAGTATTCTTTTGTAGTCGTATTTTAAGCCATTTAAAGCACTTGTAGTCGTGTTTTATACTATCTAAAACGCTCGGCTGCGCCTCGCGTTTTAAAAATGATAAAACACTCCTGCGCGTGCTTTAAATAGTACTTAAAATACTCATTAATAATACATAAACCTTGTGGCAAATCATGACAGCCATAATATGTCACATGGAGTGATATTATATCTGATAAAGCATGTGGCATTATATAATTGTTCATCCTAATTAGTATGATTATACAATGGTTCATCCTAATTAGTATTCTTTTGTAGTCGTATTTTAAGCTATTCAAAACACACGTTGTCGTGTTTTATCAGAGATAAAACGCTCGGCTGCGCCTCGCGTTTTACATTTGATAAAACACTCCTACTCTCGTGTTTTATATAGTACTTCACATGCCAGTTGTAGCCTGCGTGTCAGGCTGTGTGCTTGAAATAGAACCTGCTACTGAAGTCGATGAAAAGTGGACAGTCATTTGGATGCACAAAAATAACAACCAATCAAAACGGCGATTGTTAATTAGATTATCAAAGCTAATTTAAGATATGACATTAACGGTCAATTTTTCGCCAATATCTCGAAAACAAATATTCCAATTTTCATTAAACGGCCAGGAATAGACCTTATGCATAATGATGTCACAAGACCTGAAGCACGCGGTGAATTATGGTCTTTGTGGTTACAGGGCGGGAGAATATTTCAAGATGGCTACTGTCGGAAGAGAATGTTTTGAGGTTCTTAACCGTCTATTAGAGGCTGTTCCAACCAACGAGGATTCTAGTTCTTTTGAGAACTCATGCACGAGTCCTCTGCGGTTGAATAACTCTGAAAGTCAGTGCAGTAGTCAGCTTTCTTCGTCGAATTTTACGAGGCGAAGTGGGGGTGCTGCATCCCCTCGAAAACTGGTAGTGTCGGAAACCAGTGAAGATATCTTCAATTCTGACAACCGTGATTGGATAAAAGTTTTGGAGAAACGTCCAGGATTTACTCATGAAAAGCTGGAGAATAACTGAATGAGCTTGTGAAAAATAGCCGTACAATGCCTGATAAAATTGCTCCAAAAGCTTATCGAAATATGAAGGAAGGCTATGGACTATGGAAAGAAGGTTATGTAAAACGTCCTTTGTCAAACCAAATGTGCAAGCTTCAAAGCTGTTGTTCTTGGTTTAGTTTTTATCTGATCAATCGATACCAGCAAACAACCGTTCTCGGAGCAACGTCGAAACAACTCCCGGTAACATCAGGAGTGCCACAGGGGTCCATCCTCGGTCCGTTGTTGTTTTTGCTGTACGAGAATCATCTCTCCAATGCTGTGACTAGTTCAAGCATTCCTACATTTGCTGATGATACCAAAATCTTCAAGACAATCAATTCCATTTCTGATGCAGCTGCTATGCAATATGACCTGTCAAAATTTGAGGAAGGCTCGACCAACGTGAACCTGGAGTTAAATGTAAGCAAATGCATAGCCTGCGAGCAGGCTCTCTGGGTGAAAGAGAGCCTGCAAGGATCCCTATAATATTTACGTGCATGCGTCCAATTTTTGGAAGCCGAGCTCTGATTGGTTGATAACTGATTCAAATGAAGTCATTGACAGGCTTCCATAAAGTAAACTTCCCGTTTGTAAAACCGAGCAACTCAAAGCTTCGGAATTGCGGCAATGTAGAGATTTAATTGTATCCTTGTTGATTTTTTACTATAAATTAATATAGTATTCATATAAAGAAGAGTACTAAAAGCTTGCATGCTTTATTGTGTCCTGGGCTTGTCTGACTTCTAGGCTAAGAAAAGACTGAACAAATTCGCAAACCGAAACCTAGGGACAAGGCATTAATATATCGCTTCTCTTTCATGAAACAATATTGAGAATTATATATTCTGATAATATTCAGTGCATATTGTTTGTAATTACTGCTTCAGTTTTTGGTGAAGTTATCAATCGTAGAAAGAAACACCTGCATCTCTAGATTGGGGCCTGGATAATGAAAGCAGGGTTTATTTTAACGTGTAGTTCTACACAAAATGTGCAGTTCTAAACCCATTTGTGCAGTTCTTAAAACACAAATGTGCAGTCACCAAACTAACAAAAATAGCCTTAATTAATCTCCTTAACTAGAAATACATGCATGCAATAACCCCTCGCCTGTTTTCAAAAGATGTATACTCAGTGCCGTTGCGAGCACTTCGTCTCAGGGTGTGTGTGAGGTTAGATAGAGGGGGGTAGGGGGGTGACCAAAATGTTTCCAGATATACAAAAAATTTTCAGGACATATAATAATTTTTCCAAAAATACAGTTGTTTTCCAAATTCACTTTCTCATGTCCTGAGAATTACCTGAATTCTCCTGAAAATCTTCTGCAAATCTACTTAATTTTACCTAACAGTGCACTGGAAATCTACCTGAAATTCCTTATGAGCAATTATCAGGGGTGTTGCACCCCCCCCCCCCAGTGAGTTCCAAGCAAACACTCTGTGATTTATTGTTCCTGTATTTCACCTCCCAAAATATTGTGCATCATACTATACAGCATTTTGCTGTTGTCATGCTCTAGCATGGTTCAAATTTATGAATTTTTATTATATAAAGTATAGTGTTTTACAGAGATTTCAAGCACTGATAAAAATGATAATCTCACATGTGAAATTATTCATGATAATCTCACATGTGAAAATTATCGCCTTTTCAATTATCGCTTTTCTGTAAAAATTATCGCTTTTCATTTAAGACTGTCCTTTATATAATAAACAGAAAAATACATGGGTGGTTGGAAATACCAGATTTATTTTTCGTGTTGAACATGACATCTCACTCGTTCGCTGCGCCCACTTGTTCGCTGCACACTCATGATCAACACTCGAAATAAATCTGGTATTTCATGCACCCATGTATTATTCTCTATTTAAACTACAACTTGACTGGTTTAAATTATTATCAAGTTATCAGTGATTGTAAAAGTTGCAGATAGAAGTGCTTTGTTTTATATTATTATCAAGTTATCAGTGATCGCAAAACCTATATTTATAAAATATATATCTATAATCAGGTGTGCGGGTTGTGATAAGGTGGACTTCAATAATTTGGATTCTTGTACTTCACTTGTTGGAATTAATATTAGAATGTTAGGGTTTGTAATCCAAGTGAGCATATACACATTTTAAGACCTAACCAGGAACGACTGCAAAAAATGCAGCACAAGGTCCTCTTGTAGGAATTGAACCTACGGCCCTGCGATTCCGGTGCAGCGCTCTAACCAACTGAGCTATACAGAGGCCAGCTGTTGAGCTGTAACCGTAAGTTCATGTATATTTAGGTAATCGGGTGTGCGGGTTGTGATAAGGTGGACTTCAATAATTTGGATTCTTGCACTTCACTTGTTGGAATTAACATTAGAATGTTAGGGTTTGTAATCCAAGTGAGAATATATACATTTTAAGACCTAACCAAGAACGACTGCGAAAAATGCAGCACAAGGTCCTCTGGTAGGAATTGAACCTATGGCCCTGTGATTCCGGTGCAGCGCTCTAACCAACTGAGCTACAGAGGCCAGCTGTTGAGCTTTAACCGTAAGTTCATGTATATTTAGGTAATCGGGTGTGCGGGTTGTGATAACTGATAAGGTGGACTTCAATAATTTGGATTCTTGCACTTCACTTGTTGGAATTAATATTAGAATGTTAGGGTTTGTAATCCAAGTGAGAATAATTATATACATTTTAAGACCTAACCAGGAACGACTGCGAAAAATGCAGCACAAGGTCCTCTGGTAGTAATTGAACCTACGGCCCTGCGATTCCGGTGCAGCGCTCTAACCAACTGAGCTACAGAGGCCAGCTGTTGAGCTTTAACTGTAAGTTCATGTATATTCAGGTAATTGGGTGTGCGGGTTGTGATAAGGTGGACTTCAATAATTTGGATTCTTGCACTTCACTTGTTGGAATTAATATTAGAATGTTAGGGTTTGTAATCCAAGTGAGAATATATACGTTTTAAGACCTAACCAGGAACGACTGCGAAAAATGCAGCACAAGGTCCTCTGGTAGGAATTGAACCTACGGCCCTGCGATTCCGGTGCAGCGCTCTAACCAACTGAGCTACAGAGGCCAGCTGTTGAGCTTTAACCGTAAGTTCATATATATTTAGGTAATCGGGTGTGCGGGTTGTGATAAGGTGGACTTCAATAATTTGGATTCTTACACTTCACTTGTTGGAATTAATATTAGAATGTTAGGGTTTGTAATCCAAGTGAGAATATATACATTTTAAGACCTAACCAGGAACGACTGCGAAAAATGCAGCACAAGGTCCTCTGGTAGGAATTGAACCTACAGCCCTACGATTCCGGTGCAGCGCTCTAACCAACTGAGCTACAGAGGCCAGCTGTTGAGCTTTAACCGTACGTTCATGTATATTTAGGTAATCGGGTGTGCGGGTTGTGATAAGGTGGACTTCAATAATTTGGATTCTTGTACTTCACTTGTTGGAATTAATA